AATGAAACGAATTATAATCAATTTTGATGTGCTTATCATTTATTCAGTATTAAAATAGCTTACCGGTAAAGAGAGATATGGCTTCTTCTACATCAATACCATATAAACCAAGTCCATATAAATTAGGATAGTTTGTAGCACGAAGAATACGTTGCATAGATGTTGATTCAAGATTAAGCCATTTAATTTTATGATGAATTTCATGTAAAATTTTTAAACAAAATCGATCAAGCATTGGATCAGGTAGTGGATAGGAGAAACCATCTGAGAAATATGTTAATGTTAAGTGACTTGTAAAAATTGAATCATGTGTAATTGTAGTGAGTCGTTTATTAACTCCTATAAATGAATAGAGTACTTCGGCATCATACAATTTTCTCAAAATAAATACAATAATCTCATCTGGTAAATCATTTAATTGAATCGATAAATGTTCCATATTTATCTTCGCCTCTGTGTGCTTTTTTGGCATATAGACACGTCAATATTTACATATGATCATTTCATTCTTTTTTGACCGATGTCATCAATAATCACCAATGAGAATAATGATATGTTTTTCTTTTTTAGTCAGGGGCGGCGTGACCGGGGGGATAGGGATGTCACCCCCTCCTGCTCCAGAAAATTTTGGCTGGTACTTTCTCCGATGTTGGGGAATTTACTACGATAATTTCTCCGATTTTGGAGAATTTACAAAGCAATTTTCTCCGATTTTGGAGAAATATACTTGATAGTTTTCTCTCAATTCGGAGAAAATTCAAGTTTAATGGGCATTTTCAGGCAATTTTCTCCGATTTTCGAGAAATATATTACGCAAATTTCTCCAAAACTCGGAGAAAATTCAAGTTTGGAGATCATTTTTAGGCAATTTTCTCCGATTTTCGAGAAATATATTACGCAAATTTCTCCAACATCGGAGAAAAATTTTTAATAGTTTCCTCCAAACTTGGATTTTCTCCGATTCTGGAGAAACGTGTATAATATATTTCTCCAAAATCGGAGAAAATCGCCCAAAAATGTTCTCCAAACTTGAATTTTCTGCGAATTTATACAATAGTGTTGAATATATTTCTATGAATCCCGAAAAATCCAATTTTGGACAAAAATGAGTAGACGATTTTCTCCGATTTTGGAGAAGTATATTAGGAGTCGTTCAGAAATCATGTGATCACCTTGGGGAGGAGGTCAAGTAGAGCCCGTCAGGTTGGTTCCGAACCCGAACCTGCCCGGGTCCGGATCCAAAAGTTTTTTATACAGCGTGTCCCGGTCCAAATTCAAGTTCGAAAAAAATTTAGACCCGATGAACCCGAATGGTATGAGGAATGCATAGCTTTCGCTATTCACCAAATGCAAAAAGACGGAGAAAAATATTTGACATCCTCGTAGTGACCATCCAATAACAACTAAATCTCTCTCCTCAATGGTATCCCGAATGATGCTCCCCAGACATTTGCTCCCGCGACACTTGCTCCCCAATGATGCTTGCTCCCCAATGACGCTTGCTCCTAAATGGCAATATCAAATAGAATTTTTATTAAATACAAGTACAATGTATAAATTTATTAGATTTAGATATAGAATATGACAATAGAGAAAGAAAGATCTCATTATTTAGGGTGTGGGTGTGACGTGTGGGTGGGTGTGGGTGTGGGTGTGGGTGT